TTTCACCAGCTGCAGGAGAGGGTTGTCACTGTTATTCATGACAACATTTTGAAATGCAGAGCTGTCACAGAAAGTACAGCATAAGCACTGACAAAAGGCATCGAAGGAGCAGGTGTTTAACACAGAGATTGACAGTTTACCAACTTTAACAGGCTGATGCATGTTTCCATTTTTTAATAGTCCCACTTTCACTCTTTTGGCCCCAGATGATGAATCTGCATGGAGCCATTCAGTGCAGGAACTCAGGTATGAAGTCCTCTTCCTCTTTTTGGGTGGAAGAATTTGTCCTCTCCAGTTTTCAACCACGTTTTCATCTGCTGTGGAAATGTTTCTGGTGGGATCAGATTCCATTAAATCGCTAGAATCCATTTTTGTTTTTTCTTCAGCATTGTGTGTAATTACTGACGCAGGATTAGCTTCTGCAACGTCTGCTGATGTAACTTGTTCCTCCTCTCTTTTTTCTTTGGCAGAGCAAATCTGCATATTTCCTTCGATGAAGGAAAGGTGCCGAGAAATGAAGCGATCCACTCAAATGGGCAAGTTCTCATGTTTGAACAGGCCATGTTTTACATTTTTGAATTCGGCTTCAACATTGGCTGAGCTTGCTGTGAGACTGGTGCTTTTGAAGAGGGGAACCATTATTCCTGTCCACAGTGGTAAGTAACTTGCAAGTCTTATAATGTGTGGCACAATCTCAGGGAGGAAATGAATGTTATCCCTATCCCCATTGGCTGCAGCATGTGTCCTGCTCTCCTCACAAATGTTTGACACCCAGTCTCGTAGGTCAGTCTGGATGTCATTACATGGATCCACTTGATGAACTTCCTTTGTGTCTTCATCTGGAATGATGATGGAGTCTTCTGCAATCTGGGTTTTCAAGTATTTTTTGCACCTCTCTGACTCGAGAGGGGTTCCAGAACTGTCATCACCTTCTGCCTCACTGAGAGCCACAACAGTGATGGCATGTATTAGCTGCTTTGCATGGTCCAAGCTTTGTGCCTGAAGAAGCTTTGCTATTCCCCTGACAAAGAAGTCTTTGACACGGTGTGACTTGTTTTTCAGGCAGTCCCACTGGCAGACCATCTTTATGCAGTGGGCAACATCAACCCTGATATAACAGGGAGGAAGTTTTGCAGACTGGTTCCCAAGTAGCACATGGAAGCATTCATCAATGTATGATTTCAGGTTAGGACAAGGAGTGAAGGCCTTCACCAGAGCACCAAGAATAGCCAGGGAAAAGTCACTCACAGCTTCTTTTGGTACAGCTGCGCCTGCACGAAGCCATTCCGTCAGCCATGTTGCAATAGCGTTAATGTCATGCCTTTCTGATAGCATTTGTACGACTGGGACTGAACAGTTGTCTCCCTTCATAACACCTTGGTATAAGAAGATGTGGCCAGATGTACCATTTGGTCTTGCCAGTTTTCTGACAACTGAACCAGTTGCATCAAAGCAAACTACTGAGGGACATTTTTTGGTCAGTGCCTTATAAACATGTATCTGAGTTTGACTCCAATAGTGAGAAAAGAATTTATCCAGACCAATATCTCTTATACTGCCACTGTTGGGTGTGCTATACTTTAATAACTGCAAAGATAGAACAGGGTCTTTGTCGCATAACTCAAAATCTTCTCTCTCCTGCTTGGCTTTTCGTAAGGTTGCCAGGTTTGGAAGGTGACTTGGCTCGGGATCTCCTATATCCATCAACTCTGATGCCTTTGCTGACCTCCATACAGATGGTTCCATCCTGCCCTCACACAACTCTTCTGAAATCTGTGCACGAAGGGTTCCTGACATGAATCTTTTGGACTGGCCAGTGTGCAGGGAGATGTCGGCGCCTTCAATGGAACACTGGAGCACCATTGGGCTGTTGATCGTTGGCTCTCTGTCACATGTCATTTTAACATGACCTTGACACTCTTTACAGAAGCCTATGATATCAATGTACTTACTAGTGAC